ATACTTGGTCGTATGTCTGATTAACGTCGGTAGCATGTTGTGCTCCATCTGCCCGGTACCGGGCCAGCAGCGCCTTTGAAAGGGATTGGTTGAACCGAAGTTGCTGGATGAAGGTCTGGGCGGCTTTCACGATGGCAATTATTTCGGAGAACGGCTTGTTGGACTCAGGACACGATGTGCTCGCGTAGAGAGAGTCTGCCAGCACTGTCCAGCAATACGCATGGTGATTGAAGCCCTCGCCCGAGTACCCATACAGAGGGCGAGTAGCCAGAAGCGTTGACCTGGCTTGCCATGGCCCACCACACCGATGCGAGCAGCCACCAGTCACGATGAGCTGTCTCGGGCTGGCCGAACTTGATGCTAAACTGCTCGATCATCTTCCTGGCATGGTTCTTCCACAAACCTTCGCGTCGCTCCACGGTGGCGTTCTGCTGCAGCGCAGCCGCGGCGGTAGTCATCAGGCGGCAGCCCATGTCCTCGATCTCCTTGGAAAACTCTCGCTCGAACTCACCTCGTCCATCAGAGATGACGCGTTGAGGCGCGCCAAAATATATAATCCAGATCTGCAGCAGTCGAGCGAAGACAACCGAGGGGTGCCTTGAGGGAACGGCGCCGCACAGGGTAAAACCTGAAGCCAGGTCGACCACATTGAGGAAGATCAGCAGATTGCTGGCGTAGTCGGCAAGGGTTAAAAGGTCCACTCCGATTGAATCGTTGAAGTCGTGGTCCAGCCTGATCCTCCCAGGTAAGTGGGGCAATGGTCGCTGATGTGCGGCGCAGATCTCACAGTAGAGGTTTAGCGCCATCTCGACCGCTCTCCGCGATCCGCCTGTGACTCGGATAGCCCGGGCCAGCGAGTCGTTGGACGGGTGCCCCGTGTTCACGTGGAGCTGCATCACTGCGGATCGGAGTGTTCCTTCCTCCGCGGGGGCTCCTGAGGAGCCGCCTCCGCTGGAAACGTCCTCCTCGCCCTCCGGATTGAGTGCGCCTCTCGTGGAGGTGGATTGGGTCGTCGTAGTTGGTCGGCCAAAACTTTCACGAGCTTGTGCGTGCAATTATCGCTGATCTTAGCGTCCTGACCACGCGCTTCAGCGTGGGGGTGCGACTTGTCGCAGAACCTCCTCAGCGTGTCGTCGAATCCGTAGTGATCGGTGAGGATTATCCAAGGTTTCTTGATGTGGACCCCCTCTTCGTCTTAAGGTCGAACGCGCAGCCGTCGAAGTCGAAGACCCGCGGCAGCTGCTCCTTCAGCTTCCTCGCGGTCGCGTTCTTGTTGGGGCCTCATCCGTCGCAGTATCTCGGCCACTCGAATGAGACGGCAAGCTGCCTGCCGAACTCCTTGCGTAGACGGGGCATCGATTGCAGGAACAGGCCGATCATCTGCTCGGGCTTGGTCCTATCCTGCTGGAGCTCTGGGATCTTCCCAGGGTCGATCTTGACAACAAGTCGCTGTAAGGAATTCCGTGCTTGGCAGGGAAACGTTGTATGGACACGGACGCTTTTGCCACGAGCGAGGGCCGTCCTGGTCTTGCTCTCGAGTTTGTTGACCACGAACCGTCGCGACAGATCGTAGGCAGGTAGCCCACACCTGACGGTTACTCCTCCGTTCGTCGTCCAGATGGCGTTGAGTTTGTTGTCCGGGTTGCAGCAGCGCTCGTAGAGTATTGTGTCGCTCGTGGTGTTGATCGCCTTGGATCTCGTAGTAGACCTGGCCATGTCAGTGACCAGAGCCTGGTTGACCTGGTGCGGCCGAATACCGCTTATTGACAACGAAAGCCGTGCGCTTGCCTGCAATTTGCAGCGGCTTCGTCCCCTTCTTCAGGTTCCTCACCTTGAGCTGCTCCTCCTCCACGATATTAACCTCCTTTAGGCTGGCATCCTCGGCGTAGTCGTCCAGGGTCACGGAGGTGCCAAACACGCGCTCCGGGCAGAAGCTTATGTGGCTGCAGGCCTCATGGGATTTCTCTCTGCAAGAAAAGGCAACCCTGCGACGACTCGGCAACATTCGTCGCGGGGTGGAGCGGCGGCGGCAATGTCGTCATAGTGAGGTTTTGGGTAGCTGCTGCCGTAGAGCAGCACGCTGATGCTGACGCCACAGCCGACATATGCTTGGATCCCTTTAGTCGGCGAGGCTGTAGGCGTCTAGGCACGCTCAGCTCCTTCTTGTTGATGAGCTTGCTGATAGACTCGGTCAGCGACTCGGTCCTGATAGTGTAGTTGATGGTCGGGGCGCTATCCGCCTTGGTCCTCCCAGTCGGTCTAGTAGGGGACTCTGCGCAAGCGTCCTTGATCGCACGCCAGCCCTCAGGCTGCAGACGAATTGCGGGATGACCCGCACTGTTCGTGAAGAGCTTTTGGATAACATTTCCGATGTGAATCAGCGCCTTCCAGAGCGAGCTGTCAATCTTGGAGGGATGGATGAAATCTCGTCCGATGAGGAAACCCAGCGTGGGACTGTCCACGATGCTGAACACGATGCGGCCAGCCTGGCCGCACAGCACAAGCGGCGCGGTCACGCACATCCTGCTAGGGAGAGTACCCCCGTTTCCGAACCTGTAGACCTCGTCCTCGGGCTCCTCGAGGATCTGGTCGGCTGGGCCCATCTTAGTAAGCAAATCTTTGTAGTTTTCGTACCACCTGCGACCCGAGACGCAGGAAAGGCAGGCAGTGTCCATTACACCGAGCACTTCGTCCACGGGCTTTTCTCAATTGGCCGATACGTTGACATCCGCCAGGCGATGCATCAACCGCTCGGAGACGCAGGCCTCCGAAGGCGGCGTCACCGGCCCCTGCGGGCGTAGAGGCGAGTCTTCGTCCACGAACTGGACCTGCTTGGCGATGTGCGCCTGTCGCTGTGGTTTGCCACCTCGGCCTACATCGCGACTGCCCCTCTGCTTATCTTCGGGCGCAAACTTGCGCGCAACGGGCGTAGGACACTCCTTGTCTCGAGTCCAGTGCCCCGTCTCGCCACAATCCCGGCACATGGATGTCTTCTTGCGCTGGTCGACGCGGCTCTGGAGCTTGCCGGGACGACGTGCCCCAGTCGATTTGCCGCCCGACTTGCCGCGGCCCCTGAGGGCTTCTCGGGCCGATCCGATGGTGGCCATGGCCTCGGGAATCGCGGCGTGCTCCGCCGCGGCAGCCTCGACGCTTGGCGGAGTCGCCACCGTCGAACACCTCGGAGATCTCGACGTTGGAGGATTCGAGCTCTGCACTGAACGCCACGAGCTCTTGGCGGACCATGTCTTTCACGTCGACCTCGGTCTCGCCTTCGGCCCCATAGTCCTGCTCTTCGTCGTCGCCCTCCGGCTCGTCGACGACATTGATCGAGCGTTCTCCTCGATGCGAGGAGGAGGACTTCCAGCCGCCAGCAGGACGCGACTGGTTCCACGGCCGCGGCGGCTGCGGCGCGTGGCGCTCTGAGCTGTGGACGTCCGGGAACATCCTCACAAGCAGGCCTCGGATGCGTTGGAATCCGTAGTGCTCGTCAGGCAGGTTGCCCACGACGCGCTCGCGTCGCTCTGCCGTGAGGCCCGCCTTGCGAAGTAGAAACCATTCAGTTACGTCGTCCAACGCGTTGAGATCCACCTCGTTCTCACGTAGCTGTTGGAGACGGGTCTCGAATCGAATGAGCCAGTCCGTCATGCGTTCACCACGATGGCGATGGTGGTGAGTCGACTCGAAAAACTTCTCGAGAGTCTCGCCCTTCTGCACCGGCTTCTGCTGACCTAGATTCGCCTCCAGGTGTTCGAGTACATTCTCGATGCCAATTTGGTTGCGGTTGCGCTTCTGCCCGCCCACGTCTTCGATATTATCCGCAGTTGGCGGGTGCAGTTCTTCCTCCGTCATGTCAAACGTAGCTGCCCTCGCCGTCCCCGTCAGCTTTAGCACGAGCTTGGATGCGAGGCACTGGGTGACCTCTAAGTTCTCGCTGAGCTTCCAAAGCTTCACCTCCTGCTTGTAGTCTCTCTCCTTGGCGGGGTCGCCGTTCCAGGTGGGGATGATTGATTGGCCGTAATTGTTGTGCTAATCCGTCAATGTGTCTACGTACTTGGCGTTCTGGTCGGTTGTGAAATTGCACACGTGGAGTCCGCTGAAGTTCTGAAAGAGCGTAAAATATAACGAGAGGGTTTCGCTGAAGTCCTTGGAGAACGCGAAATGGAGCGAGAGGGCTTCGCTGAAGTCCTGGGAGTTCGTGAAATTGAACGAGAGGGCTTCATTGAAGTCCTAGGAGAATTCGTCGGGCAGGGCGTCGCTGACGTCCAGGAAATAGTTCATGAGGGCGTTGAGTTTGACGTCGCTGACGTCCGGGATAGAAGTTTTGAGGGCGTTAGATTGGGCGTCGTTGACGTCCGGGATAGAAGTATTGAGAGCGTTAGATTGGGCGTCGCTGACGTCAGAGATAGATAGGATTATTGAGGGCGTTAGACTGGGCGTCGCTGACTGCCGGGGGGTAGGAGTAGATGCTGGCGTCGCTGACACCGGCGGAGCTTGGCAGGGTTAGGATCAGGGTGAGGATCGCCCGCAGGATGCCGCTGGGCGTCGAATCCGTGGCTTGCGACGGCGTCGTCGTGGTTGGTATATGGATGTGGCGCGCAGCGGCGGGCAGCTGAGACCCGCTCCAAGCTACCACTCTGATATGGAATGGTGCGGAGCACCGATGGCTTTGTCGAAAGCGAGCGCGGCTCGAGCGATCTGCACAGCTCTTAGGCCAAGGGCCCTGAAATAGATTGAGCCAAAATGATAGCGGGAGAGCGGGATGGGAGCAGCACATGCGGAGAGCAGAGAAACAGGCGGAAGATCGGCGGAAGGGCGATCGACATGCTATCGAATCGACCGAAACCACACCGTCGACAGCCACGACATCTCATAGTCATCTGGGTTGCAGCCTTGAGGTTGGCTTTGGGAGCAAATATTCGGTTTTAGCTTTATCACTTGCTGGATGTTCCATAGCTTGATGTTTGCCCTTCTCCTATTCATCTTTGAGATGCACACAATAGGTTCACTTCCACGACTTCTCTGCCACTCTTGACGGGCAGAGGGGATGGGTTGCGCAACAAGTACTCTCCCACGCGCTTGTGCTGGTGACCATGCGAGCAAGCTTCTCCAATATGTGATTGTCACAACGCAAGCAGCTCGCAACCTCGTTTCGGTGTCATTGTTTCCTCGCGCGGGATGACGCGGCCTCGCCACTACTCTCGCGAGACAGCGTAATATCCGCTCCGTCCCGGCACGGACCTTGCACGCATAAGTGCGAGGCCATGTGAGATGATGGTGGTTGTGTCCATATGTTTCATTCAGTTTGCCTTCCCGCCCGTGTTTCTTCGCATGTGGACGTCATTCGTGTTCGTTTCAGTCTGATTTGGTCACGCGTGATATCGTTCTGTTTCGATTGGTTGTGGATCGTTGGCACGTTCGCCCAGGGTGGCCGTGACGCAGGGAAGTTTGGAAATGCACGCACGATCACGAAGAATAATGCTAGGACATGCTAGGACAGCAATGCTTTGCCAATGTCTCCATGGTTGTCCGTCTTCACGAGGTAACGACTTCTTGGATGTGATTGTCCACTCGCGGCCCCTTCTCAGCATGAGCCTTGCAGTGATGTATTACGGCCAACTGTTTCGATTATTGCCAGGGTTCACATGATGTCAAGATTGGTACAGACGAGTACAGATTGCGGACAGCACTTGCGTTGGACAGGTATTGAAGCTCAAGGTTGCTACGTTGGTCGAAGAGGATTTCTACGTCGTGCCTCCGTCCGGCTGCGTTTTCACATTGACAGTTCACCTCTTGGTCATTGCCAGTGCTTCTCTAGCGATGAGGTCCGAAGTGCCTATCATTGTCTCACACGGAATCAGGGATCTGACGACGCATGCAAGCTTCGCAAAGGACAGCGTGTCTTGGCATGCAGTCACGCATGGTGCCCGTAGCCTTGGGTCTCTCAGGTGATAAATCTTGGGAACCCATAGTCGCGGTCGCCCAACCATACCAACTTCATCCTCATGATTTGCATGTGCATTTTCATCATCATCGGTTTGCGGCCCCCCTCCACTTTCTGAGCGGGCATCGAACGTGGCGCAAATAGCTCGTAATGTCTGTGGTCGAGCAACGCCCTGTATGCTCATGAGCTGCAAGATTGATCGGGTCCCAAGTGCAAAAGGCGTATTGAGCAGTCACATATCTTCGATTTGGAGAGCTCGGGCATGGCCGAGCCGCTTAGGCGACTCGTTCCAAATATCTGGCTTTACTAGGTCGGGCTGTCCATGTCGGGCCGACCTTCAGAGCAGGAAGAGGTGGAGAAAAGGGAGGAGGAGGAGGAGGAGGAGGAGGAGGAGGGCATTATCCAAAGAGGGCGGGTTTCGTCCTGCTCTGGATCGCGAGTAGACTACAGGACCGTATGCACGTCTCCTGGGTGCTCGTTTTTTTTACTCACAGAAGCAACCAAGCAGAGGAGAAGGAGAAATCCGCTACCCCTCAAGGGGGCTATCTTGGACGCACCCCACACGTCAACAAGAGCAACAACTGGCAAATAGCCCCGGGTTTGGGGAGCGCGCGGAACAGGCAGGTATTAAGCTGCAGCCAGAAAGCCCCCAGTCTGGCTCGAAAGAGGCAGCCGCGCGAGGACAAGGAGAAGGACAAGGGCGAGGAGGGGGAGAAGGAAGATAAGAACACAGCCCGAAATTATATCATGCTGAATGGGGGGATCCCCACGCATGTCGCCAAGGCAAGCCGGCGATCCAGTGGCGCACATGAGAAATTGAAGCCACAATATAAGGTAAACAATGCTGATGCTGATGGATAAGGTGAAGACAGAGAGCGAGAGAGGAAGAGGGAGGGAGAGGGAGGGAGAGGGAGAGGCAGGCGGTTCAACGGGCCCCGTCCCGAAGAAACTGCACGAACGCCCCTCGGTATTCTGAAGGCTCGAAATGCCCGTGCCGAACGCCATTATGAAGACGATAAAGAGCGTACAAGGCGAGACAACGTTGGAGCACAGAGGAGCTCCACCCCTCAGAAACGAAATCCGTGCTGGAACGCATGCAAAGAAAGGAGTCGAGAGCCCAGTCCGCCGGCGGCGGGGGCCATGCAAAATGCGAGCGGCAGAGTTGCCGCACCGCCGTGCAACGTGCAAAGTGCTCAATGCTATCTTCGTAGCGACCGCACCCGAGCGTGCAAAACCGTTCGTCTGAAACCTACGCCGCGTACACCACCCATTGCAGACGGTGCGCAATATATATATATATATATATATATATCCTGGGTGCTCGTTAGTATCATTCGTTTTCAGGTGAGGCCTCGAACCTCGTTGCGCAAAATTTGCCGCATTACAGCAAAGCAGCAACACTAAAGTTAAGAGCGTTCGTTCTTCGCCGCTTGCGTGCCACTCGATATGTATACCCCCGAACCCTCGATACCCACCATCTTTGTCTTTGATCGTACACCTTCGGCAAGTATAGATTCATTGCCTGCCACATGTAGTTGGCGCGGCCCGAGACTAATAAGAGGAGGGAGAGAGGAAAAATGAAGAGAGCAAGGACGAGAGGAGGATCCGAGAAGGAATGGAGGCAAGAGTGAGATAAGAGAAGGACAAAAAAGATTTAACAGGAGGCGGTGGAAAGAGAGATCAGAGGATTGGTAGGTGGACCCTGCTGGGCGGGTCGGGCCCCCCTCGAACGGGAATTTAGACCCCATGGGAGAGGGAAGGACAGCCAAATGTCTCACGCGCCTTCTCACCCCCCGCAAGCGGGGGTCGGCGCATTTCGATCACTGGGGGCCCGATACTCCCTTACCCAGGTCCCCCGCCCGAAGATGATTCTGCTAACACCTCTCACAAGGCACTTTAACATCTTCAGCTCAGACGGCACATGGCCGTCGCAATCGCCGTGCATCTGCTCTTGTGTAAGGCCCCCGGAAAAATTGGCGGAAGCAGGCCTGGGGTATTGGGATCATCTTCGGGTCGTTGTGAAGTGGCATTGGGACCGTACGGTCAGATTGGGGCTATTTAGTGGTCATTGGTTCGTATTACGGTCACGGGGTCACCGCAGGGATGTCTTGAAATCATTGGTTTGCCGTGGAACCATCTTGGGCCCTAAAGATATTCCCAGGGTTTCGCATTGGGATCCTCTTTGGGTAATGTTGAAGTATTGGGGTCGTCTTGACGTCATCGTGAAATCGTATCGGGACGTTGGAATCATTGATTCGCATCGGGGTCATCTTGTAGTATACCAGACCAAAAGGAGCTTGATGGGAGTAGGCATAGGGTATTGGGCTCATCTTCGGGGTGCCTATTGGTTTGCTCTTGGGAGCATCTGGACTCAAGCGCCTCATCGGGGCCTTTTGGGGCCCCTGATGAATCGGAATCCGGGCCCTCCTGGGGCCGCTCGAAAGCCCTCCAGGGGCGATGCCGAGACGAGGGTGCCAAGCTTAAGCAAAAAGATAGGCACTAACGAACGGAAGCGTTGTAATCGTTTGGAGGGCTAGTTCAACCGCCGAGGCGAGAGTGACACCCTTGAGTCAAAAACGAATAAGTGTCGAACAGGAAATGTGTGTAGGGGTCGCTGTGGGGGCGCTGGTGCAGTCACTGAGGCGAGAGCGCCACTTCCAGAGTAAACGCCATCAAGTATCGAGCGGGATCGTCCTTGTTGCTGGGGGGCTGGGTTGGGGCGCCGAGATGAGGGCCCCACTCCTGAGCAAAAAGCTCGAACGTATCGAGCGGCTGCATTGCTGTTGCTGGCAGGCCTGGTTCGGGCGCCTAGGCGAGGGCCTCCCCTCCCGAGGAAAACGCGGTGAGGCAACGAGCGGGAGCGCTCTCACTGGCTGGAGAGGCTGATCGGGGCACCCACGCGAGGGCGCGACTCCTTGGCAAAAGCCGGGGAACTATCGAGCGGGTGCGCGGTTGTTGTTGCGAGAGTGCAGACTCTGCACGCGCTCTCGCAAGGGCAGCCTGTGACGCCGCAGCAAGACCCGACGGAATGGAATCCGTAATGAACAGCATTGGATCTTGCTGGTATGTGTCATCCGTCGTTTCTCCGCTCTCCCTGATACATACACAGGCACGTTTGCATTGAAATGTGTAGGTGCTTGACTCGAAGAACACGTTCGTACGGGATATCAAGCCGGAGATATTCGTAAGTTCGTGCAATCAGGCGCATGTGGTTGTTGATTGTTTTGCGACGTACGGCAGAGCAGATAGGAGTGCTCGGGGTTAAGGAGTGCAAGCCGAGGCGGGCAACGTCCATACAGTGCACGGACCAATGGATGTGTGTGTGTGAGCGTGTGTGTTGACATTCCAGTGCAGTCGTGAGCAGTGTCACGACGCAGCCGATTCAGACAACGTGTCCGAACGCATCGGGGCCCGCTGGGTCTATGATATTTCGCCGAGCAGACTGTTCATGACGGGGCATTCAGCATGCGCATGTGAAAAGCAGAGGCTAGACGATGGTAAGCGAGAGGATACTTGCCTGAAGGAGTAAAAAAAGAGAACGCACAATGAGTTGCAAACACAGGAAAATCTAGTCCGGCTGAAAAAAACAGCCTGTGTCAGAGAATGAGGGATGCCAGCAGCACGTCAGGATGCAATGCCGCGGCGCGTGGCAGTGGTAGAGGACGTTGACGGTGAATTCAGCGAATTTGGGATTCCATTCCATGATGTCGATCACAGCATCGGCGCCGATGTTGTTGGAGAGTGTTACCAAGTTTTCTCGCGACCTTCCCAGAAAAGAGGGCACGCTCCGAGTCCCGATCATATCTGATCATTGCGGCCCGTGCGCCCACAAGTTCCTTCTCAGAACCCGAGCGCGGGGCGGGGCCTTGCCATTGCCACCCGCGATCGTGGCCACGGCTGCCGCTGCTGTGCAACCGCCACTGCCGCCGTTGTTGATTATGGTGTTGCTGTGTCCGCCGCTGCGGTGTCTGCTGCTATTGCTTGGAGTGGCTCGATCTCCACACGTCACAGACAAGCCTTGCCCTCCCACCAAGAGGGGCGCCATCCATAAGGAGGTGTCCACAGCAGCAGCTCTAAGAGGTAAGAGTCACCAGTCATGGGCTACTTTTGCCGGTCCATCAGGCAATAGTCTTCGGGGATTACAAGGCGGCGGAGTTGCCCGAGCTGCACAGTCAATGGCGCCGCGTCTGCCGAACTTTGGTTATTTCGCATGATCGTTGCTCAATATTTATCCAAACAATCCGTTTGCACCAGAGAGAAGAGATGTTTTGGTGCCAGGGGTCTCGGCGCACAGTTTGTTTTGCCATACCCGTTGATTTGGACGCCTGGTCGCCGCCATACGGTTCTGGACATGGGGTCATAGCTTCATTGGGGCTACAGTAAGCGCCACATTAGAATAGGGTCATGGCGTAAATAAATAGATTACTGATCGCCTCGACCTTGGCCCTCTTAGGAATACCCCCGAGAGGTCAGGTTTAATGCAAGCATACGATTGTTGTCACACTCGTTGTTTCGCCCCTTGGTGCTCGATTGGCTTCTAAGGCTTCAAAAAATAACTCGAAGACTGCCCGAGAGAGGCCCAGAAGGGACCTAAGAGGGCCCCAAAGACCTCCACGAGCACCATAAGAGAATCCCAAGAAAACCCCAAGAGGCCCCACGAACGCTTGAGGCCCGAAGCCTAGCCCATCAAACACTGCCACACGTGTCCCAAAACGGTTTCGGGACAGTCCGTAGCCATTTGGGTTCCAGTGATGTGGGTTCCAGCTGTTTGATCTCAAGTCCTGCGCGGCGCTATTTTGTCGCGAGTTGGCATCTCGTCACTCTGGTCTGGCTGTGTGAGGAAAAACTTTGGCCCAAAGGCCGACAAAAACGTGGGAAATACATTTAGCGCTACTTGTGTCTGCGTGGATTCGCTGGATAAGTTCCATGGTGTGCTCCTCAATCCCGGATCTCGCACGACTAGTGATAGTCGTGTTTGCATGCGGGGTAGTTGCTACTCCACGTAAGCAAGAGTTTTTGTTGGATATCCCCAGGGTTAGAGAAGCCGATCTCAGATCAAACATTACGCTTCGTACTGGCTTGCATGCGTATGTGCTGGTAGATAAGCCAAAATGGGAAATCGAAGATTGGAAAATGAAAAACTACACATCATCAATCCCGTATGAATGGGTAGATTTCTATGCCAACAATTTGGACGAGCCTGGGAAGAAGCCAATACTTTACAAGATGAAAGAGGCTTCGGCTTACTACCAACGTAAGGGAGACAATCCTCGTTACATGCAGCTCCGGTTGAGCCTAAAAGGATGGAAGGAAGTCAGAAAGGTAATGTTGCCAAAGCCTTTGCCCGATATCTTCTGGGACGAAGAAGAATGGATTGAAGACTGCATGCGCAAAGACGACAATTCCATTGACGAAGAAGCGATCGACAATTTTTACACCACGATGCAGTGGAAGTTCTTATTGATTGGTGAAAAGAACACGCGAATGTTTCTCCACAGGGATAAGTCGTGTTCCCCGTCTTGGCAAGTACAACTTCGAGGTCGGAAGAAGTGGACCTTGTGTCCACATACAGAAAGCCGTTTTCTGAATGTCAAGCAGGACACTTTCAGCAAGAAAATGTTAATTGATCCGGCATTTTCTCAGGCGCTCTGTGGACAAGTTACTGTCAATCCAGGGGAACTGCTTTACTATCCTGGCTATTGGTGGCACCAAACTTTGCAGCTGGATAGGCCAACGATTGCGTATACAGGGGCACTTGTGGGAACCGAGACAAAACGGGATGACATCGGTCAGGACAAACGGGGCCATGCGTCTTTTTTGAGAGACATGCAGAGGGATTGTGGAAAATGTTGGCAGAGGGGCAAGAAGGAACGAATATGTGATGATATTTCCAAGAAGTGGCCAGGAGCTGCGCCACCACCTCTTCGGAGAATATGCGATGACTATTTGAACAAGTGTTTCAAGCTTTGGGATCAGCACGCGAAGTTCCTGGCTAAGAAAGTCGGAGGTGAGTTGTGATATAGTCGATGCACTGCGGGGTTTCGACAGGTCGAGCGACTGTATTGTTCGGCTATGGCGACATGTAGACATCATTTGTTTAGAAATGTTGGCATGATGGGATAATGCGTGCGGACTACCACCTGCCATTCGGACGGGTTGGCCAGTTGACATGCACGCGAGAATTGGGTGGAGCAGAAACTTGGGACCCTCAGAGGGTCGAATCCATCTTGCAACAACGAGACAAAAAATACAACAGGCAAAACACTCCAAGAGGGCACTGGAGGCTCTAAGAGGCCATAGACGCCTTAGAAGGGTGCCAATTGGGCCCCCAAGGGCATCCCAGGAGAGTTTCAAGAGGATCACAAGAGGCCCCCGACCTCAAATCGAGGGCTACGCCCGACAAGGATATCTACGAGTAGTTTGTCCTCTTCTTATCGGTTGGCCAGGGACGCATGCCACGCTAGACTGCCAGCCGCTTGCCGTCCAGTGGCACGAGGGGAGAAGCTGCAGGCGGGAGACTTCCCGTAGAACAGGTAGAACGCGCGCTGTGAATCATATACTCGGCAGGCCAGACGAGGAAAGTTTGGAAAGGGGTGGCACCACCCTGGTGTTCGCTTGTGGCCATTCGGATCGGAGCTCTGTTGAGCCTCTTGGGCATTTCTGGGCCCATGCGGTTCTCGTGGGGCCAGGCTGGAGGACCTGGGAGTTGTCTTGGGTCGCCCCAGGCGCATACGAGAGGACCCCAGGAGATGCCTAGGAGGGCCTCGAGAGGGCCCAAAAACTCATCAAAATCCCAACAGGTACCCAACAGGACCCAAAGAGGGCTTCAACGGAATACCAAGAGGGCGCCCGAACCGTCACAATGAAGCCCCATATCACACATTCGCAGGCCTCGGCGTGGCTTATCCCATCCCGGTCAGTACATTGCTCTTCCGTCGTCCCTTTCCTGCCCTTGTTGTTGCTAATGCTACAACTGCTCCTACTGCTCCTCCTCATCGTCATCATCCTCCTCCTGCTGATCCTTCTCCTTGTCCTCCGCCTCTCTTCCGCCTCCTTTCCCTCTCTCTCTCTCTCTCTGTCTCTTCCCTTCTCCCCCCTGCTCCTCTTCCTTATCCCTGCTCCATGCACACAGGTTCACATCCTATTATGCGCCAACCAGGCCACATTTACCAGCCGCCTCGAGCCCACAGACAAGTGGGGAAGTGTTGCGACGTGGCGGAGGGCAATGGGCAAACTCATACCCGAAAAAGAAGAAGGGAGTTGGACCAAAAACTTCTCAAACCCCATACGCCCAGAGGGCTGGTCAGATGTGTAGGCCATGGGGGTCTCTAGTATGCTTTGTACTGCTGCCTTGTTTGGCGTTCACGCCGAATTGGTGGGCCAAGGATTTGTGCCAGATGGAAGGAGGCGACAAGTGGGAGGCGAGGGAGGATGAGGTCTATCTGTTCGCCAAATAGCCACCGCATGGCTTTCAGATCGGAAGAGAAGGACCACAGAAGGGTCCCACAGGGGGATGGGGAGCCCGAGGCCGTCCTTCTGTAGATCGTTTGGTCTGGCAGCCGTTTCGCCGGAGACTTCCTCACAGATGATTCAGGGATGGTGCTCTCACCTCATTGCCGCCTACATGTTTGGTCAGGACGGCCACGATCTGTTTGTCAGAGAGTTCACTATGGTGCACAGGGCCGTGTCCTCGCCCCTGTCCCCTATATCCGACCTCCTACTCCTCGACCCGCCTCTTCACTCTTGCTGCTATTACAATGTTTTTGCTGGGACAACTTTTCGGAGAATAGGAGGCACTGTAGCACCCCCGCAGCCACGGCCTTGTGGCACACCTTTCCCGACAGCACACGTCCAATGTTGCACGGTGAATTTGTTGTCTGCCGCTTCCAACGAAGTAAGCATGCAAACACATTTGAACATTGTAGCAGATATGGCTCCTTGCGCTTGTGCGCTGCGAGTGCTTCCATGAGTTGGCATTTGGGCACTCTGTCAGTAAAGTCCTGGGTCGTTGTTTAATGCAGCCAACTCGGTTCAAGTACTTCGAGCCGGCATGGCTTACGATGCTCGCAGTTGCGTCATGTTGTGTGATGCTCATTGGCCTCACTGTGCTTCTGCGGTGGTTGTACATTGCTTGGCGAGCAGATCACATGAACGTACGCACGAAGAGTCATGCCCAAGAGCAGTCGTCTTCGCCCTCCACGGCCCCCACTAGAGTGAAGCTGAGAGGACTTGCGAAGCGCCCTGAGCTGAATGGCCAGCTGGGTTACGCTGAGAAATATGAGGAGACTTCGCAGCGCTTCAGCGTGCGACTCGACGGGTCGAAGCAGGTCCTGGGCGTCAAGCTCAGCAACCTAGAGCTGCTCGAAGAGGAGGGCGTGGCTTGGCAGGTGACGGCGCGGTGCCACTCTGAACGCGATGGCCCCAGGGCTCCCACAGACGCGTCAGCGGAGGCCCCGCGTGAGCCTGAGACAGCGCGGATGTGTGCGCAAGGAGGGCAGCCCAGTGTGCCAGCGGCGCAGCCAGCTGCCTCGACGGCAGCAGGTGCCTCTAGCGCAAGCGCCTCGAGCCGCGCACGGGTCGCACGGGCCACGACAACCGTAGCGGCCACACCGTGCGGCGTTGTAGCCTCTCAGATGGCGGCTAGGGCCAGCAAAGAAGACTCCGCAGCGGTTGCCAGTCTGCAGGCTGTGCCAGAGCCCAAGGCTCTTGCGCCAACCACGTCCCAGGCGGCTGCGGCGACTGGATATTCGGCCGCCGCAGAGATAGCACCAGCAGCGGCACAGGCGTCGACGTCGTCGGGCACACCCACAACGCAGTTGGCGGAGGAGCTCCAGAGGCGCCGCGCCACTCTTTTCGTCAGGAACGCACGCAGGGAGCTGGATGTGAATGACATAGCCGAGCACTCAAAATTCATTGAGGACAAGATCAAGCAGATGATGGTGCAGCGCAAGGAACTTCAGCGCAAGCACGCAGTGGCACACGCGCGGCTACGGCGCGAGAAGAAGGATGTCGGCCGCATTTGCTCGCTTATGTCGCAAGTGGAGCGGCTGGAGAACCAGGCCGAAGAATTCAACGCCAACGTTGCGGCCCTCAACGGCGAGCGAGAGTGGCTGAATGGAACGGAAGCGTGGAAGCGTGCCGTGAAAGAGTTGCATGAGAGATTCGTACAGACCGCGTCTGGTGAAGTGATTTCCAAGGCGACGCTTAAGCAGGACGAGGAGGAGTGCGCTTCGTTCGAGGAGATGTTGCAGAAGATGAAGGCCGACGCCGCGGAGCTGCGGCCGCTACGGCCAGAGGACGACGGGGAGCTCTCAGACGGGGACCTGGGCCTGGCCACGGGCGCTAACGCCAACGCCAGCACGAGGGGAGGCCAAGATGGCGGCAAGAGCAGCGCCAAGGGCAACTGCAAGAAGCGCCCCTCCGCGCCCAAGCAGGCCGCCAAGATCAGATGACGTCTGCCCCGTCGCCTGCGACCTGCTTGCCCGCGGCGTGCAGGCGGAGCCCGCGTCGCCGAATGGCTCCCGCACCGGACTCGTCGCGGGGCAGCCTCCAATGTCTCATGTTCAGGTGCAACAATAGGGGGGATAGGCATAGGGGGGGACGCATCGACCCCCAATCGCCCATTGATCGCCGATAGGGGCCCGATAGCCCCAGCCTGCCCAGGAAGGTGCGGATTCACTGTCGGAGGCCTATCGCCGATCCATCGGCGATGTATCTCCGATTTCAGGTCGATGCACCCCCCCTATGCCGGTCCCCCCTTATCGTTGCCCCTCACATGCGCACCTGTTCTATCCGTTTGCAATGCTGCGCTCGTCGGCCGCCTCGCTACGGTGGGGCCAGAGGGCCAGAGTTCGATGGCAGATCATACGAGCCCTGGAAACCCTCGCAGCTCCGTCTTTGGAGTGCGCTAGCGCCGATTAGCGTCTGGCAGTCGATGAGATAGTGCCGATTAGCGTCGAGCAGCGTCGGTTCGCCAGAGCCAACAGGATGGCATGGGAGGCTCCATGAGGTGCCGCAGAAAGAGTTGGCTGCACGTATAAGAGTGACCCCATCGCCAAGAGTGGACCTTGGTGCGCGGCCTCTCGGGCCGCGCGACGCGGGAGGCGGGCCAGACCCCAGCACGTGGGCAGCCATTGCCGCACCGCGTGCAACGATCGGCAGGCCACGCACCAAAGGTCACGCCGGTCAGGGATCACTCTTGCGCGTGTCTGGCGGAGGAGTGGGGGGGAGGTCCACGGCCCCTCGCAACCCCGGCTCCACTGGAAAGATGACGCACGTTGGGCTTGGTGCGCTGGCAGAGGCCTGAGATGTCGCCTCGCGGGGAGCAGATGCAGGAAGTGACAAGGCGCCACACGCACCAGCCGCAGCCTAGCGCGGTGGCGGATCCAGGGACCGGCATTGCCTTTCGCAAAGTGCTCTGAAAAGGTTCTTCTTCGAATGTCTACAAGACGTGGCACTGCCATGTGGAATATGTTCACGTCACGTCACGAGGTCACCTGTCTATTAACATTAGTTTCCGTTGGCATCCCTGTAAGCGTGTTTTGGTTGTGTGCCTCACCAGCGGTGCATTGGATCATGTGCGAATGTTTGGCGCGAACCGCCAACACCCAAGTAAACATTAGTCTACTTAAGAGGCGTATGCCATTCCGCCGACCCCCAGAAGAGGATAGGTGCGGTTTCCGATGTTATGTCCGTTGTGTGCCGCTTCCCCGTCGTGCTGCCCGCATGCAGCTGTTTCTGATTTGTCCTCCTTTTCCGCGTCTGCTGCGGGGATTTGGGGGGGCCCATCGGTGGCCTCAGGGGCGGCCCCGTGGGAGCCTCTTCAGGGCTCCCACTGGGGGCTGCTGGGAGTCTCTTGGAGACCGCGTGCGTTGACGAGCTCGTTCCACCCCCTCCTTTCTCGTCCCCCCTCCACCCCCCCACCCCTCAGGACGGGGGAGGAAAGGGAAAGGGGAGGGGGAAAGGGGAGGGGGACGGCCGAATGTCGCATACGCCTTTCTCGCCCACCACAGACGGGGGTCGGCGGAGTGTGCGTCACTGAGTTGCAGAAAGCACACCCCAACTGGGCGCCCTCGCGATGCATGCCAGAAGAAACCGCCCGCCCCCTGCGGAACGAGTTCTCGGCGGCGTCGTTTTGGCAATGGTTGATGCTTCGCGCATCCTCCGCAGACCATCCTCGGCGGCGAGAGAGAGGGGGGGGGAAGTGAGAGGGAGAAGGCCTTCCCGGAAGGTTCGGAAGCCCCCCGGCCTTCTGAGAAGGCGCGAGGGCTTCTGAGAAGTCCCGCCGCTTTCTCAGAAGTCCTTCTCCTTCTCACTTCCCCCTTTCGCTCGCCGCTGACATCCAGGAACGATCCTCGGGAAGCTGCCTCGACCATTGAAGTGCCATGAAGGGAGGCGGCCGTCCAAACCTGCATGAGCAGGCCCAGAAGTTAACCGGGAAGGCGTCCGCGGACCTATCGTTTCGGGAGCTTCCTGGAGGAGGTCTTGAGGTCAGTTCGGAGGTACTTGGGGAGGCTCTCTTGGGGCCCGTTTGGAGGCCATCGGCCAAAACAGTGAGGCTTCAATGAGGGCCCCGCCCGGTCGAAGCCTAAAAAAGCATAGTTGGTGGCCGCCTTGGGGCGTTTTTGGGTGCATATGAGGCCGTCATGGAGTCTTCTCTGGGTTGTTGGGTGGAAGGGCTCTTGCTTCGATGCCGCTATCCTGCGAAGCCCAGCCCCCTGGTCCAAACAGATCGCCAACGCATCTCAAGAGACATTTTGCCAACACGGTCAGCCCCGATGGCACGGTGCGCGACGCGCGCAGGGTGCGCGAGGTGCGCCATTTCACGTGACGGCAAGCATCGCTCAATATTCAGGAGGGGAAAACACACAGACACAATTGATCGTCGATTCCCCAGAAAATATAGGAACATATGGGAAGTGGGGGGAAGGCAAAAGCCCAGAAAATATGAAAAAAGTAGGGTGTCCTGTTATTTGTGTCTATTTGTTTGTGTGTCCCAGGGCCCCTTCAAAGATGTCTACGCCCCCAACATCCCTTCCAAAACCAATGCAAAGTGGCAGCGGGGCCAGCCAGCATGGTGTAGGGCGAGTGTTCCCGCAATCGCGTTGCATTGGTTTTAACAGGAATTGTGGACCGCAGCCTGCCAATTATGATCCGCCAGTTGTGAATGCCGCACTTGTCGATGTCGCCTTCAGTGGAGCTCCCTATGGGGCCACGAGACGCGTGAGAGGTGTGCCGACATGGGCCTGGGGGCGCACGCGGGCCTTGCCAGTGGGGCCCTTCGGTGGAGCTCCTTGTGGGGCCACGAAGCGTGCGACGGGCCTGCCGGAACGAGTGGGGAAACGCATGCGGCTCCCTATCCGCCCGAAGGCTTCGGTGGAGCTCCCCGTGGGGCCACGAAACGAGTGAGGGGTGTGCCGACAGGAATGGGGAACCGCACGCGAAACTTCCTTCTTGGGGACTTCGGTGGAGCTCTCTGTGTGGCCGCTAAGCGTGTCCAGTGGAGTGACGAAATATGCAAGACCATCTGCGAAACCCTTGTCCTGGGGGGCTTCATTGGAAAACCCTCGTGGAGCCACGAAATGTGTGAGGGGTGTCCCAAAGTTGATCGGAACGACATGCGAGACCCCTTTTTCCTAGGGGTTTCGGTGGAGCCCCCTTGTGGGGCCACCAAACACGAGAGGGGGTTGCCGACATGCGTAAGAACCGCACGCGAAACCCCTTTCTGGGGGCTTCGGTGGCGCTCCCTGTGGGGCTACGAGACGTGTGAAGGGTGTGCCAAAAGTAGTGCGGAAACGCGTGCGAATCCCCCCCATCCATGGGGTGTCGGTGTGGCTTCCCTGCGGGGCCACGAAACGAGTGAGGGGTGTGCCAAAATGAGTGGGCAACAGCATGCAGAACCTCCCTCCTGGGGGGGGAGGGGGCTTCGGTGGAGCTTCGTGTGTGGCCACGAAACGCGTGAGGGGTGTGCCGAAATCTGCAAGAAAAGCATGCGACCCCCCCGCCCTCCCCTTGAGGGCCTCGGTGGAGCCACGAATGAGGCTGCGAAATGTACGAGAGGCGTGCCGACATGTGCATGCGGAGGACAGGCAGGGACGGGAGGAGGGAGGGAGGAGGAAAGGAGAGAAGGAGAGGAGAGGAGGAGAGGAGACGAGAGGAAGCGCGGGGCGACGTCTTTTTCAAGACGCGGGCCCAACACCACAGGACGGTTGGGACATATGGTAAGATGCTCACCACCCAAGGCAAAAACAGGATGATGGCTGGAAGCCCGCCGCACCTGATCGAATGCTTGCCGCCTAGCCTATGTGCACTTCGGCTGGCGGCCTCCCAGAGGCAAAACGCAACACACGTGGACTCCGCCAAGTGCTGGGCGCATTCCCCACAGTGTGCGGGGCATGCGGAGCACGTCGGACACGACCAGATGCTGCATCCCAGTAAGTGCGGGAGCAGTGGGGCTGGAACGAAGGGCCCGTGGCCAGCACCAAGCGCACCAATGTTATGAAGTTCCAGAAGTTTTGCAAGGCACGGCAGCCGCTGCAAAGCTAACAAGCAGAGAGCTGTTCGTAGATGCCCTGATCAAATTGAACGCCCCTGAGGGGGCAGACATCGCCGCCCCACTTTCTGTTGGAGCCCAGAGCTTCCTTTGGAGGGGGGTTCAGTTCGGCCCCAAAGAGTCCAAAGATTCGCGGAGAAGATCCCAAGAAGATCTCCAGAGGGTCCCGAGAGGGCCCGAACACGGGCGAAAAGGGTACCCAAAGGTGTCGGAAACGGCGGAGGAAACCGAAGAGGGATACAGAGAGGCAGAAAGGAGCATCGCCAGTTAGTTTGGGTGCCTCAGAAGGGCTTCCAGGGACCCCCTGGGCGCGCCGACGACCGAAAGACAGCACCAAGGCGACTCTGGGCGCGCCGCTCTGACAGCCTCTCGAGTCCCGACAGGCGTGTAGGGCCTCGAGAGGCTGTCAGAGCGGCCGCAGACAGCATCCGCGGGTTCCAAGATGGCCGCAAGAGCCCACGGAGATACACGGGAGCTCCAAGAGAGGCGCTTGGAACAGCCCGGTAAGGACAGAATCGTCATAATCCTATGTGTTTGACCATGTGTTAGTTTGTTCAGGGCTTCTGGTGTACGAGACTCGAAGAGAGGTGGCGAGGCATCCGGGACGGCCGGCAGTGGCTCGAAGGGCGGTCAACATCAGCCCAGAAAGGGCCCCGAGAGGCCCCCAGAACCGGCCCAGGAGGCTCCCGGAGAGTTGTCTGAGAGGGTTGGTGGCGCTCAGAAGCCGAGCACGTGAAAGAGGGGTCGTTTTGGGACGGAAATGGTGGCAAGAAGGCGCCCCAGCCGCAGCCCGGGCCCCGGGGCGGCGGAATGAGCAGGCCGCGGGGAGGACCCAAGGAGGGGTTGCCCAGGCTCTGAGGAAGAGCATGGATACGAGTAGTGCGTGGGCAAGGGACAGGGAAAGAATTCGTGCATACTATGCGGCGGGGATCTCACACGCCGTACCTGGTGGGGCGGCGGATCGCTTCGCTCATTCCGCCGGCCCGTATTGTGCCATCGCAGGCGTTTGCCTGCTTGTTCGTGGCCTCTTGGGGGCCGTTTGGGGGCCTTGGTGCCTCTTTCTGTGCCTCTTCGGGGCCTTCAGCGGGCCTCCAGCGGGCCTCCTGGGCTCTTTTGAGCCTCCTACGGATCTCTTGGGGCGGAAGGCTCGAATTGGTGGTTCGTGTTTCCCTTCTTGGGGCCGTCTTGGGGGCCTCCTGGGTGATCTTGGGCGCCTCTGGGGCCGTTTTGGGGCCGTCTTGGGCCTCTGGGGCCATGTTGGAGCGTCGGAAGCCCGAAAACGCGAGAACGCGAAAACATTGAGAAACATCAGGAAAATCAATGAGTGTTGCTGCGTCTTTTGGCCCTCTTTGGGGTCCTCTTGGAGTATTGGGGCCTCGTTGGGACCTTTTGTGCAGTCTTGGGGCCACACCTTGGGCGTCTTGGAGCGCTCTTGGGCCGTGACTCCGATTCGTGGGCCTTGTGGAGTTGCCTGGAGGTTCCTTGGGCTGCTCCTGGGGCGATCTGGAAGGCCCCGAAACCGCCCCTGGGAGTTCTGGCATCCTTGAGCCGAACTTGCGGGGTCCCTGCCCGTAGTCGGCAGGGCTTTTTTCGTCTGAGGACCCCCAGGTTCCGCCCCGCGCGCGCGAATTATCATATACATGTCCAGTTACCGGAGATCTTAGCATGCCTTTGGCCCGGTGGGCAGGCGAATTTGGCGGGCGACGCAGAGAAACCAAGGGAAGGGCGTTACGGAAGTTGCCCCCAGCAACGTGACCGTATATCCCCGAAGGGAATTTGAGAAATATGATTTCTTCCGTTCCAGATTAGTGCACGCCATTGTATCCCAGAATATTGCGATTAGATCCAGGAAAAGAAATTCATTAATGATCCCCCCATCACGGCAAAGCCGTCTTCCGCGTGTCCTGAATTCCAAGGCATCTCGAGAGGATCACCGAGCGTTTCGGGTTTGTGTTTGTCAGATCTTGCATGATACATAGAACTCGGGGGCACTCCAGACCTAAGGTCTCGATGCGGGATCGTCAAATTTGGGAACAAACAGGGCAGCTTCACAGTCGAATGACATGGCGTCTGTCTTTTCTGTGCGCTGAGGAGGTCCAACTGATCATGTATGTATCAGACACAGACGTACGATGGGCATTCCCTTCCTCACACCCCATTCGCCAGCTCATCACTTCCTCTTCTATTTTCGCCTCGTTCCTTTCTTCCCGCGCGATATGGGACACGTCCTGAGCAAGCGTGTGGACACAAGTGAAAACTAGGTGCCTTCCAACATGGCGGTTTCGCCTGACGAGCGATTCGATTTCCTCCCCTGTCACAGAGTCGATTTCAAATCCGCGTGCGCTTCATGGAAAGAGCGACAGCAGAGGATTCGCAACAAGAAATGGAAAGGGAGGGCGGGCTAACAACCCCCCTTATCCCCCTTCAAGGGGATCTGTTTTTTCCCTCCCTCCTTTTGCACTGGAGAAAGTGGGGCTGGGAAGTGGGGGCATTCTTTGCACCAGAGAGGGGAGACTTTAACCTCCCTTTCCTCCCCTGCTTGGCGGCAGACAGGGTGGGGCGTGGCGCGCGGAAGGGGTGCCAAGTCAGGGGGGGTATTGCTAAGGGTATTTCGGTTAGGATAGGGTCAGAGTTAGGGTGTTAGTGCGTTAGGGTTAGAGCGGCAGGTTTGGGATGTTACGGCGTTAAGGCTCGGGGGGGTATTCTTAGGGTTAGGCTCAGGGCGGCTAGTGTCTGACGGTAAGGGTGTGAGGGTCAGGCGGATCAGGTTGTGCTGCTTAGGTAGAGGTGTGGGTTTAGGGCGTTAGAGGTGAGGGTATTCAGGGACAGGTTGCTCGAATGTGGTGTCAGGGTGCTAGGTTTAGACGGGGGGGGTCGGGATGGCATGTTTTGGCTAGGATGTTAGGGTGTAAAGGTGCGCGTTTAAAGTTAGGGGATTGGGGTTAGGGTGTCAGGGCTAGGGTGTTAGGACATTGTGCAGGGTGTAAGGGTGTGATGGGTAGGACGCTGGGGTTCGGGTGATTATGGTTAGGATTAGGGTGTCCGGGGTAAGGCCTGAGGGTGGTAGGGTCAAGGTGCCCAGAATAAAGGTTAAGGTTTAGGGTCAGAGTGTTAGCGGGTCAATGTTAGAGTGTTATGAACACGAGAGTTGTGCGGATCAATCCCTCCCAGCCTAAGCCCTTCGAGCGAGAGCGACCTATCATCTCATCGCGACAACATGTTCGCGCATTTTCTGCACCGTCGGAGCACAAGTGGACCGTCTGGGGGCGTGCTTTGGTCTTGCTTATACCTCTTCCCAGTGCGTCGACCCCCTCGACGATTTGAACGCGTCAACGCGATCTGATCAATCTGCTACTTGACGCCTCCTGCGGCGATGAGGACGGTGAGGATGAGGATGTGGATGTTGCTGCTGGTGGCGGCGGCGAGCCTGGGAGCGCTTCGGGAGCGATTGGAGCGCCTGGGAACGCCTGGCAGACTTGGGGGTGCGCTATGAAGACCAGCCGATTTCCACCAAAGCGCATATGCTGGAAAGGATCGGGGGGGGTCTGGATGGGTGTGAATATCCGCAGATGTGCACCGAATGGTTTTTGGTATAGGATGGTCAATGTTGGTTCGAAGAGAAGACCACCCGTTTCGTGACTGTTAGATGGGTGCGAATATCAGCAGATGTGCACCGAATAGTATTCGTAGTTCAAAAAAGGTTCAGATGAGACGACCTTACGATCAGCCGATGTGCCGGATCGGGTCCCGGTTCGAGGCGGGTTCTGGGACAGCTGTTGCAGGGAATCGGGGCTATATATTTACAGGATTAAATTATTAGTGTGTGTGGGGGGGGATTCTCCGGAGCAAAGGAGGCGGCGGCGAGTATTGGCTTTTTTTGCGCAAAAGAAAGGGGGGGTCCCATCTTGGCTCCACAAGGGGTTGGGGGGGGCGAAAGGGAGGGTGGGGTCAGGGATGGTGGACTTGAAAAGAACAGGTGTCCGGGACGGTGGACTGGGGAAAAGAAGGAAGGTCCGAATTTGCCCCCTCCCTTCTGGTACCTCCAGCGGCGCACCAGTTTCTTTATGAGTGGTTCGCGCGAAGCTTCAATACTGTATTGCGCCCCCCCTCTAACCCTAGGTACGAGACGTCGGCGAGGTTGCTCGACGTGCCATCTCCATTGGATGGGCACGTTCTTCTTTTCATGAGCGCGCATCGGGGGACCTCCAGAAGAGAGCGAGAGAGAGGAAGAGAAAGAGTCCGAATGTGCTCGTGCGAGTTCGGACAGTAGCAACAGCATGACGCCAAGAGGAGAACGCTCGGGAGGTGGAGTTCCGCCGTAGATACACCAGCGCAACGTCAACAGCATTACGTGCATCAGGTGGGTCACCAGTTGTTTGGGTCAGGCCAGGACGGCACATGAATGACCTCCCATCGTGCAAAGGCATTATCGGAGAAAACGCTGATGGAAACCACAGTTTTTCAGGGGTTCGTTCGCCAAACGAATTCCCGCCCCCCGCCTCCGCACAGTCGCCTCTGGTTGCCCTCTCCAGGTGTATAGTTGTTGTTCCCTTCCTGGGGTGGGCGCAATCCGCTTGGAATTGAAAGCCAGGCACGACGACGGAGACAGATGGCCGCCGTCGATTACGCCCATGACCTTCCACAGACAGACGGTTCTCGACCTCCTCGCCCATATAGGTACGCTGTTCTGCCTTGTGAATTTATGATGAGAGATGTCCGAGTTGTTTATTGATGAAGTCTTGCCCATGGTACGGGCAGTTCGTTTTGCGCAATTTCACGCTTCATGTTGCAGGTTTCCAGCGCGTAAGTTGTGAGTTGCCAACAGATTTGATCGGCGATGCGGCACCGCAATGTCTTCCTACGTTTGTATCGCTGCTTCGATGTGCTGAAGATCGATGCGTATTGGCCCAGGCGCTTGGCCGATTGATTATTTCGCTAAAGCTTACATGGTTGTATTCGTCTTCTTGTCAGGATGCCCACGAAGCTTCCAGCGACAGCGAGTTCGCATTCCGTTCTACGAATCGATTGAATCCCGCATTAACGACACAGTAGCAATATTCCACACGATACGGGCACCATCATCACAGCAAGTACGAGCAATTCACAACAAATCTTTGCGCTGGAAATGCCCATGACTATGATGGAAAGCTTAGTGCCGTTCCGTATCCAGCCGCTTGCGGCAAGTCCCATCACCGCGCCAGCCCAGCATCATGGATGGCGATTGTTCGAGAGGGCGTGGGGGGCCGTCATGTGTGACACCTCGTGTCCCCAAGTTTGAGAGAGCTGTGATGAGGATGCAGAGGGTGGTAATGAGGAGGAGTAGCAAGAGGAGGACGAGGAAGAGGAAGGCCGTCACATGTGACACTTTTCGTCTTCATGTCTTGGGGAGCTCTTTCGAGCTCACTTGGGCCATCTTGGGGCTGTTTTGGGCCCCTGAGAGATAGTCCTGGGGGTCCCTTAGGGCCATCTTGGGGCCCTTTTGAGCTGTCCTGGGGCCCTGTTAGGCAGCCTTGGGCCTCTCTTGGGGCCATCTGGGTCGTATGGGGGATGACTCGGAGCCGTCGTGGGGCCGTTTTGGCGCGGTCTTGGGCTTTCTAAAGCCGTCTTGGGTCTCTCCAGAGGTCGTCTTGGAGGCCTTTTGGCCTCTTGGGCCACCTCGGAGTCCTCGTACACCGTGTTGGGACTCTCGTAAGGCCTTTTGGGGCCGTCTTGCGCTGGTTCAGCTTGCGCTTACGGACGCCCTAAGAGGCGAGAATGCGAAGACCCTTCAAAGACCTAAAGAAGCAGAGATTAAGTTGTTGGTTTCTTCGGGCCTTGCTGGGAGTTCTCTTGGGCCCTTCTTGAGCGCTGTTAGAGGCACAGTGGACCGCTTGGAAGCCATCTTGGCCGCCTTGCGGCAATTTTTGCCCGTCTCGCAAGCGTCTTGGACCATCTTGGCAGCCTTGATTGTCTGCCTTGGCCGTCTTGGAAGCTCGGAAATGCGGATCCATCGTCTTTTAACCAAGGATCGTTACCACGAGAGCGCGGGTCCATCGTTTGTTTTCGAGGGTCGTGGCATCGGGAAAAGTGAGATAGCACATGACCAGGATGGGAGGGGCCCTTAGAAGATTACAAAAGCTCTGCCAGGCAGCATTTGGCATTCTACCACGCCTCAGCGTGTCAGGGGGACTGTCACGCATTTCGGGAGCAAACCACAGGGGTACATTAACTCCGGCTTCCTAGTCGGAAACCGAAGAAGTAAATTTCGGGGTCTTTGCTCGTCAGGTCTTGGGCGCTCCTGGGGCCGCATTGGATGGAGCCTTGTTGCATTCCTTTGGGTTCGAATGGGCATGCTGGAAAAAACTTGAGGCATCAGAAGCCCCTCCGAAACAAAAAGATCATAATGCACAAACTATGCATGTTGCGCCAGCTGGGGAAGAGGTTTCGGTTTCGGGGCCGACATTGGAAGGACCCGCGGCAATTTGGAACCCGTTTGGGGCAATTTGCCGCCTCCTGACTTGAAGGCATGGGGGAAGCCATATTCTACCATTTGGTAATGTCTAGTTGGACCAGTAGTGGCTTAGTTGGGCCCGCGTTGAAGCCATATGTTGCCATACTGGACGCTCCCACGAACAGCGACCTGCCCCGCGAGGGCCCCCGTCGAGACCAGGGAAGGGTAAAGAAGGGGAGGAGGGGCAGATCCCCTCCCCGAACGGGAAGAGAGGGCTTGAAAGAGGTAACCCGTTAAACCACACGCGCCCACAACAATGGTAGAATGAAAGGAAATAGTGCTACACAAGTGATGTTATTATTGGCGGTTCGCGTGCCCCCGCCACCCCATCGAGAAACGATGCCCAGGCGAGTTGCATCGATCAGGGAAGTGTGAGCATGCAGTGGAACGAATACGGGGGCAGCCGTCGAACCGAAGATCGGGATCAATTTGAGCACGCCTGGGATCAACCATCACGCATTGGTTGGTCTTTCGGTGTGGGAGCCCCTTGCAAGCTTAGTTGGGCAGTCTTGGGAGGCCATGTTGGGGCAATGGTTGAAAGATTGTGGGTCGCCTTGCAGATCATCCTGGTGGCGATCGACCAAAAGAACGGGGGTCATGAAGTACAGTTCCCCCATCGGAGCCAGAAGAACATCATGGTGGGTTGTCATTGTGCCTTGGGGCCTGTTAGTTCGACTATGTGTCATCATAGGTGTTGGTGCCATATGTAAATTCCCACACGGACCCACATCATCCAAGATGACCCAGTTTGCAATTTCACATGCAAGCGACTTGTGTACAAATATGTGAACATATACAAAAGATACATGTCACGATCGGTATCCGGCAAGCCCAGATAAGCGGAAATTGATGGCCGACGGACCGTTCGTCGGTTGAGTCGTTTGCTCTGTTGCTTCGGAGCGCTTGAACAACCACTTTTGCTTACGGGTACCATCACCAAGATCCGGTTGCAGCACGGTCTGCCTACCACTGACGATTATGTCTATATGTTCGTGTGTCTGTCTGTCTGTCTGTATGTATGCGTGTACGTATATGTACATTATTTGTTTGTGTACTTCCTTAATATATATATATATATATATATATATATATATATACACACACACATACATACATACATACATACTTATAACGGCGCACCAGGTCCGGGCGCCCAGGGCCGGCGCCGCTACCACAAATGTAGCCTCCAGGGCCCTCGGGGAGCCCCGGGGCCTCACAGAAGACCGCCAGAAGGCGCCAAGGAGGTCCCAAGAGGCTCCAGAACAGACCCGGGACGCCCGAAGGTCGCTCCCAGACGCCCAACATGGCCTCCAAGGCGGCTTCAGAAGCCCCCCCACGACACCCCAAGCGACCCCCAATAGGGCCCCAAAGAGAGCCCCAAGGGGCCAAAATAGCCCCATTCCCTCCGTAAAACGTATATGTTTAACATATTGCTTGTTTTCGCTGTCGGTCCGTGCTTGACGACCTCAGAAGCTCCCAAGACCGCCCCAATACGGCCCAGGACGCGCCCCAGAAGGCCCCAGTACACCCCCAGAAAGCTCCAGGACGGCCCACGAAGGGCCCAAGACGGCCGCAAATGTGAGCCCCGGCGCCCTCGGGGAGCCCCGGGGCTTCACAGAAGACCGCCAGAAGGCGCCAAGGAGGTCCCAAGAGGCTCCAGAACAGACTTGGGACGCCCGAAGGTCGCTCCCAGACGCCCAACATGGCCTCCGAGGCGGCTTCAGAAGCCCCCCCACGACACCCCAAGCGACCCCCAATAGGGCCCCAAAGAGAGCCCCAAGGGGCCAAAATAGGCCCACTCCCTTTGTAAAACGTATGTGTTTATCATATTGCTTGTTTTCGCTGTCGGTCCGTGCTTGACGACCTCAGAAGTTCCCAAGACCGCCCCAATACGGCCCAGGACGCGCCCCAGAAGGCCCCAATACACCCCCAGAAAGCTCCAGGACGGCCCACGAAGGGCCCAAGACGGCCGCAAATGTGAGCCCCGGGGCCTTCGGGGAGCCCCGGGGCTTCACAGAAGACCGCCAGAAGGCGCCAAGGAGGTCCCAAGAGCTCCAGAACAGACCCCGGACGCCCGAAGGTCGCTCCCAGACGCCCAACATGGCCTCCAAGGCGGCTTCAGAAGCCCCCCCACGACACCCCAAGCGACCCCCAATAGGGCCCCAAAGAGAGCCCCAAAGGGCCAAAATAGGCCCACTCCCTTTGTAAAACGTATATGTTTAACATATTGTTTGTTTTCGCTGTCGGTCCGTGCTTGACGACCTCAGAAGCTCCCAAGACCGCCCCAGTACGGCCCCGGACGCGCCCCAGGAGGCCCCAATACACCCCCAGAAAGCTCCAGGACGGCCCACGAAGGGCCCAAGACGGCCGCAAATGTGAGCCCCGGGGCCCTCGGGGAGCCCCGGGGCTTCACAGAAGACCGCCAGAAGGCGCCAAGGAGGTCCCAAGAGGCTCCAGAACAGACCCGGGACGCCCGAAGGTCGCTCCCAGACGCCCAACATGGCCTCCAAGGCGGCTTCAGAAGCCCCCACGACACCCCAAGCGACCCCCAATAGGGCCCCAAAGACAGCCCCAAGGGGCCAAAATAAGCCCATTCCCCTCGTAAAACGTATATGTTTAACATATTGCTTGTTTTCGCTGTCGGTCCGTGCTTGACGACCTCAGAAGCTCCCAAGACCGCCCCAATACGGCCCAGGACGCGCCCCAGAAGGCCCCAATACACCCCCAGAAAGCTCCAGGACGGCCCACGAAGGGCCCAAGACGGCCGCAAATGTGAGCCCCGGCGCCCTCGGGGAGCCCCGGGGCTTCACAGAAGACCGCCAGAAGGCGCCAAGGAGGTCCCAAGAGCCTCCAGAACAGACCCCGGACGCCCGAAGGTCGCTCCCAGACGCCCAACATGGCCTCCAAGGCGGCTTCAGAAGCCCCCACCCACGACACCCCAAGCGACCCCCAATAGGGCCCCAAAGAGAGCCCCAAGGGGCCAAAATAGCCCCATTCCCTCGTAAAACGTATATGTTTAACATATTGCTTGTTTTCGCTGTCGGTCCGTGCTTGACGACCTCAGAAGCTCCCAAGACCGCCCCAATACGGCCCAGACGCGCCCCAGAAGGCCCAATACACCCCCAGAAAGCTCCAGGACGGCCCACGAAGGGCCCAAGACGGCCACAAATGTGAGCCCCGGGGCCCTCGGGGAGCCCCGGGGCTTCACAGAAGACC